TTGTTTACCATACCGTATGTTAACATATTGTTTTATCATTACAGAACCACCAAAGACAAGAATCCGAGACGTTCTGACTATCTTCTGATATTGATATTGACCTCGGGGTGCGTAAATTCAACCAAAGGCTAGCAAAGTGCCGTACGTACGAATCGCGTAACAAAAACGCCTATGAGCTTCTCACGACAAGTGTGGTTTGGAATTAGGGTTTTAGCTACCGCCTCTAAACTGATCGATTACTACTGATCAGTTAACCCTCTCACTTTGCTTTAACGCATTCCACACGTGAATGCAGCAGGAAGGACTTATTAGGAAGAAGTTATTTGAGAAACTTGTTTGTTTGGAGAATTTCTAGAGGAGTTCGAGACGAGTGACCATTTTGGAGACTGATTTTATAAACCCAGTGGCAGTGAAGTCGAAGTAGTACCATTATGGAATTTTCTGTTGTTCACACAGACGCGCGCGCGCCCACACACTTGTTTACAATCTTATTACCAATGCTTTCCCTCTGATAATGAGTTGACCTGTCAACCACATTCCACTTTCACCACGCCTGAAAGTGACTTCTTCCAAGTTATTGTATGCATCAAGTACCTTTCGCTCCACCAGTAGCTGGACCATACGGAATGCTTCCTCCGCCTATCGATATTTGGGGTGTGCGGAGAAACATTGATGCCTCTTGCGAGAGAATTGGGACAAAAAATTATTGACATATCATGACATGTGTACCCAAAACTCGGACACAGTGACTCGAAAAGACATCATACAGCCTGATACGGTTACCAAACAGTCACGGAGAGGGGAATTCGATTCCAGTCTAGAAGCTTACGCTCTCAGATCAGAGAGAGAGTTACCTGTCGGGCTCGATTGTATCGATGAGCAGCCAAGGCCAAACGGAATCCGAATTTCCGTAACATTGGACGCCGCATTCGGAGCACGCAGTGCGCAGTTTGTTCGATCAACAGTCCACTGGTCAGGTCATCGTCCTGAAAGGAGGATTGAAGTACAAAAAAAAACATAGAGAATACAATCATTTCTCGTTCTTGTTAGCAGTGCACAATGGGGCTTGTAACGGATAGCATAGTTATTCAAGAAAGACTGAATAATATTAATTGGTTAACAACATTGATGAGAAATGGTTGGTTACGGAGATAACTGATCACAGTCCTGGATACAACAGAGATTATCGCAGAAGACTAAGCGTTTTTTAACCAAGGGAGAGTCGTGTTGCGTTTAAAACGTGGCGCAAGTTAGGCTAGTTTGGCGCCGTGCCATCGCAAGGTAACAAATTTAAGCACTCTGTGGTGTTGCGTCCCGTTTCCCTATAGCTATTTGGTCCAGATAGATCGAGGAATGCACAAAAGCTTTTTTTATTACACACCTACGTGTGATGAACAGCAAACGGGGGAAACCCCATAGTCACGAGTATCAAATGTTCAGTAGTGGAAACCGGCAACCTAAGCCACAGGACTTGGAGTGGCGAACCACATAAGGCACCGATGGGTTAGGCGCGGTATTTAAGTGACAAATTCGATTCGGATAAGAAATTCACGGAAGTGGCTTCAATCGCTTGATCCAATGCCATTCATATGAACATGACAAGTGCAAATGACCGACTGGCCGATATTTGTATAATTATTAGTAGTTGGCGCCAAATCAACTCCCTTACGGGTTACTCCTTCAACAGGGAATTCAGTTTTATACGAAGGTCGCTTTTCATTTTGCATCTTCAGCTGCGATACAAGAAATCCAATTTCACGAGAGTAACGAAGAAACAGTTTGATCAGCTGCACAGTGACCGAGTGGTTATTATGCTTGCGTTCTACCAGTGAGGTCTTGGGCTTGACCCCCAGTTGGTTCGACGGATGAACACCGTTAATGAGACCCAACCAGGTTGAAACGGCAGTTCAGTGCTTTCTAGATCTTTGCCTCAGGACTCAATTACACAACGAATCCATCATATAATCAGAGAAAATCCACCGTTACTCTCACGAAATCGGATATCTCGTACCACGGCTGAACAATGAAAAGCGACCTCCGTATGAAACTGAATGCCCAGCAGGAGTGACCTGTAAGGGAGTTGATTTGGCACCAACTATTAACAATTATACTAATATCGACTAGCTCAACATTTGCACAAGTCATATTGACATGAATGGCATGGATTAAGCGACTGAGACCACCAAATTATG